TGTAGATGCCAGCTATACATAGCTGCTATAACCCAATATAATATATCCAAGGCTGGATATAGAACACAAGGTTAACCCGGGCCACCTATGAAAACTGGGAAGCAACTGAAACGATTAGAAGACAAGACAGCAAGGAAAGAAGATAGGAAAGAAAAAGGTGGGAGAGGGTGGATAGGAAAAGGCCACCGCCGATTTTCCCTGGGTGGGGCAGCCCAGGGGTGCCGTCGGCGTAAAGCCGGGACCAAAGGGGTGTGTTGCCTTTGCCGGGGGGCCTTAAAGGTCCAATCACCCGGCGTCAGCTCAATCCCCAGGATCCCCTTTTCCCAGGACATAGCTCAGCCCCACACGGCTAGGCGTGGAAGGGACTCGAAACCTCCCCGTTAGCTCAGGTGTGTGGTGTTGCTACACACTAAACGCCTGCTTGCACAGACGCCCCTGCAGGGCTTGAAGGTCGAGTACTGACAGCGGCTCGTGCAGCTGATTTCAATGAATATAAGGATTGGGAACAATGAGCCCACCAATGTCAGGCAGGCGACCGAGATGGTGACATGCTCATGGTGGTCGGTGTCCCAGACTACAATTGGAAACTGCTGGCACAAATCCGACCTTTCTCCAATGCAGGATGCAAATGAGCAAGAACAGCACGACGAGGTCAGTGAGCAGGAGGAAGAGAACGGTGCAATCATTGACTCTGGAATGTGGACAGAGGTCTGTAAACAGCTGGACGTTTACAGTGGTGCTTCATTTGAGTACTATGTGCAGTGTGACAGGGATCTTGTCACTTGTACAGAAGTATCTGATTAAGAAATTGTTTCAAGTGTTACTGTGGAACCAGAAGAAGAGTGTCACGAGGAAGTCGTAATGACCAAGGTTGGTTCAAATCCTGTAACTTTAGCCGAGGCAGTAGAGTATGTTAGAAAGTTGCGAGACTTCGTGTCTTAGCAACAAGCTGTGCCAGAGACACTGCACAAAAACCTTAACTCTCTGGAAAGCTTTGTCTCTTCTTGTGATTTAAGGGCACCAGTGCAAATGAAAATCACAGATTTCTTTTCAAAATAACTTAAATTTCACACTTTTGACTCTAATGTCTACTGTGCCCAATGCTGTTCGATACTCTAGTGAATATTCAGTTTAGTGAACTTTCAGTTATATGAACTATTTCCTTGGGTCCCTTGAAGTTCACTATATTGAGAGTTCACTGTACAGTGAAACCTCGTTAAACCGTACTTGGCCGGAGATCGGCAAAAGTACGTACTGAACGGTAGTACTGCTTAACCGAAATAGCGTCAGGTCGCTCACTTACCTGTCAAAAAAAGAAACCTTCAGGGAGTGCGATGAAAGAACAAAAAACGTGCAGTAATTTATTAACTTCGCGTTACAAAGTCTGTAATCTTCATTTGACGACGCGGCGGCCTAGCAGCAACGACGGCGGCCTAGCAGCAGCTCACTTATGCTGAGAGCCAGCTTTTCCGCCAGCCCCCTCTTTTCGGCAAATACCCGCATGACGCTGACGCAAAGCGCAGCTTCGGCCACTGTCGGACCTGGATCACGCGTGTTGTCACTTTCCATGTCCTCATCACTATCATTTGGCGACATTTCGACAACCGAGGCAACAATGGCTTCGACGGACATGTCCGGAGATGTCTGCACATCGCTGTCTGCGTCTCTGAAGTCGAGGAAGGAAATGCCTTCCGTAACGCCCTGCCGCGGGTTAAGGGGGGACGCGGCACTTCGGGACCGAAAATCAGCCAGCGATGGTGGGTTCAGCGATGGTGCGACCGAGCGCGTTGCCTCCGACGACGATGACGGTGAAGCGAACTCGGGACGACTACGAATCGACGCCAAGGTGGTGACAAACGCCGAAGTTGAAGAAAATCATGCCCGGGAGAAAGCGACGCTCGACCGGCTTTCATCGGCGCCAGCAACTGCACGGAAAATTGACTTTTTCACCGCGAGTTGTAGCGAGGCAACCGCACAGGACTCGGACCACGCTGCTCCTTATCTGCTTATGCATCTAGATATCCTAAACGCGATAATGGGTGCCTTGTGTTGCAAAGCCTGCCACGGACCGGCTACGATCGTCAGAGGGGATCGGGACTACGGACTTGCCGTGAAAGTGCTAGTGCAGTGTGAAAGGTGCGGCGAGATCGCGAATGAATGGACTTCGCCCCGCACGAACGGCACGAAAACGTGCAATCCGTTTGAAGTAAATCTTCTCGCTTCGAGGGCGATGGTGGCTACCGGCAACGGCCAAACAAAAATGAACGATATTTTCGCAACAATGGGCATCTCACACCGCGGTATGCACCACAAGACGTTTCAGCGGCATTTGAAGAACACGCTGGCACCCGCTGCAACGCGAGCGGCTGAGTCCGCTATGAGCGAATGTGCGGAAAAGGTTAGAACAATTTATGATGACTTGTGCTTCGGCCACCGGGGCAATATTGCCGTTAGCTACGACGGCACGTGGAAGACGCGAGGCCATTCTTCCCACATCGGCGTGGGCACAGTTATCGAATTATTTAGTGGCTACGTGTTGGACTACGTCGTTCTTTCCAACTTTTGCCTAGGCTGCGAGGTGGGCCCAAAGCCTAGTAGTGAGGGCTATCAAGAATGGAAGACTAACCACAAATGCCAAAAAAATACGAACAGCAAAGCGGGGCGAATGAAAGTGGAGGCGGCTCTAATTCTATTTCAGAGGTCGCTTGAACGCCATGGCCTGCGCTACACAACTATGCTGTCTGATGGAGACTCTAGGACATTTTGCGCCATACAAGACGCCAAGGTGTATGGTTACATTGACGTGCAGAAGGAAGACTGTATTAATCATGTACAGAAACGGATGGGCACCGCATTGAGAAACCTGGTGCAGAAACAAAAGTGCGATGGGAAAAGAGGCCTTGGTGGGAAAGGCAGGCTCACAGGTGAGCTGATCACCAGGCTGAGCACATATTATGGCCGGGCTCTGAAATCGCATGCAGGTGACGTGGGCGAGATGCAAAAGGCTGTGATGGCCACATACCGCCACGTCACCTCCACTGATGAATGCTCGGACCACAGTCTGTGCCCAGCTGGTGAAACTTCATGGTGTCGGCACAATGCCGCAAAAGCAAAGGGTGAGCCCGACCCCAGGCATGCCTACAATCTACCGAAAGACGTGGCAGAGGCATTACTACCGTTTATACCCGGCTTTCGGAAAGAGCCCTGCTTCAGAGGTGCGAACGCGGCAAAACGCAGAACTCCAACGAGAGCCTACATTCGGTAATCTGGAGTTTGGCCCCCAAGGAGCACCATGCGTCCCTGTTTGCTGTTGAAGCAGCTGTTGCAGAAGCAGTGCTGCGCTTCAACACGGGCAATTTGAATTCTGCAACGGCCATCTTAGGTGAAATGGACATGAATGCGACAAGTACTGGTGCCAGGAGAGCGAGAGAAAAAGACCACCGTCGCAGCATTGTCTCCAACAAGAAAAGAACAGCCTCATTGGAACTCCGGAAGCTAGTGAAGAGGAGGCATGAGCACAGAATGCATTCAGACTATGCTTCTGGTGCGTTTTGAGGTTGTCTTGTTGCATCTTCTGCAATAAAAATGTGTGCCCACGTTTTTTCCTCGATTCTCAAAACGACAATTTTCATGTGCTTCCCATTATGCCGGAGCGATATCTCTTGTTCTATCTGGGTTATCATTACGATTTCTTTTTGTTTCGAAGATAAATGCAGGGGATGTGTCGTAAAGTAAGTTTTATTGTAATAATTTTTGGAGAAAATTCTCTAAATGGATCTTTTGTTTCAAGTGTAGATGGGGAAATTTTTCATGTCATATTCAACATCCCACAACTTTGCTTCGAAATAGCCCAGAACAATGATTTATACTTTATTGCACACTGTGAACATACCGAATTGGTTCTATAGGTTGCACATCAATATCCAAGTTACAGTTAATTAGCTAATTAGGCCTTAATTGAAAAAATCTCAGTTCATTATATCTTTAAAACTAATTGTCACAGCAAAAAACGAATTAGATTTTTGAAATCAGCAGTAAAATCTACATAGGCTCTCCAAATTTGACTGAGGTACTCGCAAAAATAAAAGAGTTTTTGGAAGGTGTAGCATCCCCCCCTTAACAGCAGGTCCTTTTCGCGTGCCAGTGCCGATTTTTTTCGTGCCACTTTCAATAGCACGAATTATGTCCAATTTCTCCTCTATTTTCAGCACTCGATGCTTTTGTCCGATCTTCGGCATGACGCAAGTACGAAGCAGCACAAGCACACATACACAACACGTGAACAACGACGCGAGAGCTGTACGGCACGGATCAACCAGAGAACACCTATGCAGGGCACCAAAGAAACAAAGAAAGCAAAGCAAACGCACACCGTGTTTTTGCAAAGCGCCATCGTGTGAACAACACCAGAAGCCCAGCCGGCCGAGTGCTTCTTGTTGCAGAAAAATCCAAGAGATGGCGCTCACTAACACAGCCGCCATCATCATCAACACAAACAAGCGAGGCGTGTTTCAATCTCTGGAGCTTGCTATTCTGTCGGGACGCCAAGTGGCGGACGACATGCCACGGCGAGTGCGCAACGAAAATTGGAAAAACTACTTATTAACCGATACATACGCGATAAGCTGGTACGGCTTATGCGGATACAAAATGCATTATGTTCAATGGCTACCGAGTCGGGGATTTGACTTCAATACTTTTAAAACTAAACTACTGTTTACGCGGGTACGGTTTAACGAGGTTTCACTGTACTACTAAAATGCGGCTTTAGCAACATCCAGGGAGGTATATATGCCCTTTGTAGCAAAAATGTAGCAGCGGCTTCCACATTTTGAGTTCAGGAAGATACCAATGACAACATGGCACTTACCTAAAGAAGCACAGAAAATGCATTAGAATACCGTATGAAAATTCTTTAAAGCTGATGAAGCTACTTTCCACTTATATCTGTCAAAATGACCACAGGTTCTGGCTATCTTTCAGAGTGCAATATGACCTACCCTGAGCTTAGAGTCCAAGATTGCTGTTCTCCGACCTCCACGCCCCAAGATTGGCTCCTCTTGTTGTTTCTTGCCCTCCTTTTCCTCCTCCTCCTCCTCTTCATCGTCATCATCCTGCAAAAAAATTGAGCTTAGCCCTAACACTACAATTATAAAGCCGCTCTCACCTTGATGAAAATGGCAACGTTCTTCAGCCTTTTCTTGCTGTGTGTCAATATCGTTGCTGGATGACCCTAAAGGCATAAAAATATCACTTAATTCAACAGAGTTCAAAATAAAATTACAGGGTTCATGAAACATTTAAATGTGTGTATTGCCTGCCAATCAATCATAGAAATAAGTTTTGCCATATTCCATGCTGTGTTTGATGGATCTTACTTGATGAACCTTGGCTCTACATTTAAATCTCGCTACAATAAACACCGGTCCAACAAAAAAATTTCTCGATTTTTGTATCTGTGGGGAGTTCACGAGAAACGTTTCTTAGGAATTCTTTTTTCCCCATGTATTCCCACTTCAATAAATGTTTCCTGTGTGCTGCCACATAAGGAATGGGGGCTTAGACAAATCTTATGGACACTCCACAATTTCTCATTGAGTTATGCCTTCCCCCGCAGTGTGGCCACATTGCGGGGTGTGGGAATTGAGGCTGGCCCGCTGCCTTTGCGCGGGCTTTGCCGCCTCTTTTCTCATGTCCCGACATGCCTACCCTCCTTTGCCGTCAGCCGCGCTGGGAAGGGCGGAGTGACGTTTAACTCCCTCACCCGGTAGCGGATGTTGACTGTGGCGCCGCGCGCGGGGAGAATCCCGAGAGGTTTTTCGCGCGCTGCGTCGGGAGCGGGGAGTACAGTCCGGGACTTCAAACGGTGAGCCACGCATTCTTTTCCGTCCGTCGAGTCCCGTCGCTCGGGGCTCGTCGGACTTCGCTGACGGCGCCTCGCGCCCGATGCGAACGCTCACCTTTTGTTGCCCCGCTGCGTACTCACGGCCGAAGGTCAGTACGGTGTCCTAGTGCGTGGCCTAGCTACGCCGACCCGTCTCCCTTCGAAGCCAACGCGAGCGCCTTTGCCCTCGCTCGAGCAACCGGGCCTTTGCTCCGGTGTCTCCGTGGATCAGCTTTACCGCGGAGACGTGCTCGTGGCACCCCTGTGTAGTACTTTGTGCCCGTGGCGTGGATAAGCCTACTTGCTTTCCCGCCGCGCCTATTTGCAACGGGCTGTACTGCGTTTGGTGTTGCCACAATAAAGTGTTGCGACTTGAGCAGTATCGTGTTTCCCGCCACGGCGACGGTTAACGCGTGCCCTGCGGCTCGCTAAGACCGAACCCACGCTGGTGGCCGTACTCCTTCGGGATACGTGTACACCACAGGGGGCATTGTCTATCTGCTGCACATTGTCCAGGATCACTAATTTTTCACCACTGCGTGGGTAGGCAATAATAAAAATGCCCAAGAACTTCCACCCTATTTCTAACTTTACATTCAATACAAAACTACCGTATTTACTCGATTCTACCGCGCCCTCGATTGTAACGCGCACCCAATTTCCACGACGAAAAAAAAAAAAGTAAGACATCAATTGCAATGCGCATCCATTTTTCTCGCTGGCCCGCACGATCACACCACTCAGAAAAACGACTTCTTTCGGGAGCGTCTTTCACTTAAATATGAGGTACGGGCGAAGCTTGTGCCCATCTGACGTGTAACAGAGCATTGCCGTCACTGTAGTTTTACCGTAGACCGATGTCAGCACGCGAACTTGCTTCGCCCCCTTCTTCTCGACAGTTGTGGTGCCAGGCATGTCGAAGTAAAGAGGTGTCTAATCGGCATTCCCGATTTGCCCAAGCAGGTAGCCGTTGTTGTGCCGCAAGTTTAGGACGAACCTCTGAAAACTGTGAAGCTTTTCATCGTACTCCTCCGCAAAACTTTTCGCACATGCCCGTTCACCTTCGGAGGGAAAAGCCTTTCCTATTCATAAAGTTAGTTAGCCAGCACCTGCTCGCTTTAAACTGGCTCTGCGTTAGACCTTTTTCTAAGGCTAGTTGCATAGCCCGCACTTGGAGCAGTTCTGTCGTCACGGGCCGCTGTGCCACTCACTGCTCAAGCACATACTCGCCGAGCAGTTCTTCAATTTGCGGAAACTGACCCTGCTGTGGTCCACTGAAGCCTTTACGTGCAGCTTTGCTGTCGACAATCTTCCGCTTTTGTTTCCGCCAGTCTTGCACGCACGTTTCAGGAAACGGGAACGCACGTTTTGGGAACGACCGCGATGCGGCTCGATTTCGTCTGTTTCTGCACACGCGATGACTTTCCTTTCAAAAGCGACATCGTGGTGCACTCGAATTCTTGGAGTCTGCCCTTCCATGCCGTCGATGCTAATGCACTACAAGATGACTAACTCCTCAGCACACGTGCGAAGTGCTGCACATGGGAAACACATAGGCAGAAATGGCCGACGCACGTAGGGGGTGGCCATTTCGGAAATGCCGATGGCTATAGAATAACCGTATTCATTTTTTTCGTACTCGATTCTAACGCGCATGCGATTTTTGAACTCGCTTAACCGGAAAAAAGGTGCCCGTTAGATTCGAGTAATTACGGTACTGCTTGTCATCATTATTCCTGTGATCATGGATGACGTACACACTGTCCTGAAAAGACATGCATGGCAAACACACAATTCTAAGAAAATTACATTCTGCTGCAATCACTGCAAGCAAGATGCAGTCGTGTCAAGGTGATCATTGATTGTGATCACGAAGCTGAAAGTATACAGTCACGCAATGTGCATAGGGTGTAAAAGCAATACTGCCGCCAGAAGAAGAAACCATGGTCACCACAATCGAGAATGGCAACCACACAGCTACAAAGGAATGCCAGCAGCCAGCACACTGATGGGAGTACCCTGGAGATAGAACATTTTTATTTTTAAAAATATCTGATTAAACATTCAGGGCATGTTCCTTACACTAAAGCTAGAGCAACTGCAAAGTTTCATGAAGCAGTGTTTTTTAGTAGGTGCACGAGCTAGAGTCATAAGTAGAGGCCGAATTTTTAAGAACTAAAAAAAGTGTTTTAGGCACCAAAGAGAAGCAGGCAAAACACCGTTTTAGGCCTTCAAAATCGCACATATAGCCACAATAAATTTCTACAAGAATTGAAATAACTCAAAACAAAGACACCATTGACTTGTATCTACGACAAGAAAGAAATGATATTGTTTAAAATAGCACAAAAGCACTAACGCCTGAACATAGGCACACGTTTGCCACGCGATTCGCAGATAGTGGTCTTCTTTTCTTGTGTAGCATTGCGAGTCAAGTGCCAACCGTCCAATCAACTCTCTCCTGGGTATTTTTCGAATCGTCTTGGCTGGGAAGGGCAGCGCAGGAGCAAATAATCAGACCACTGATACCCCATAAGGGAGGGATGCCAGGTCTAATCGCGTAGGATAAATTTCTCCCCTGTCGGTGAAGGCCTTATGGGCCCCTCACTAGGTTTGGGTGTTTCGAGCTGACAAGCATATTGGATGCACTGAGCACTCAGGATCATGCCTGTTAAAATTCGCAATGCTACAGGTCGCGTAAAAACGCTAAATGTCTACTGAATGCCACTTGCCCTTTTCGCGAATGTGCGCCCCAAGATAGAGGGAGTGACGTAGAGTTAGGAGTGGTCCTGCTTTTACGCTGCTCCTTTACGCTGACATTAGTGCTCCGAAGTCCCTCACCGTACACTCATCAAGTTAAATGCTAGCTATACCTAGAAAAACAGACTAAAAATGTCCCATCTCGTGATTATATTATGCATTACGATACCTCATTAGGAGCATTGCACGTGACACTATTCTAGTTCGCATGTGCAATTTGTGGGTTCTGTTGTGTAGCATGAATGAGGAGTACTTAGGTTCGGGCTAGCTGCATCATGTCTTTTTTCTGTGTCTTTGCGCTGCCCTTTCAAAATGAGTGAAATGAATGAAAGCTGAGAAAGAAAAAATGAAACACGCAAATGGAATGTCAGTTTGTTAATATTTCTGGTTTTGTTTTCTATAGCCGCGCGATGGTATACACTAATCGGCCCTCCTTTCGCGTCAGCCACGGTGGACCAGTCGCTAGGGTGCTCCGCTGCTGACCCGAATGTCGCAGGTTCGATTCTGGCCGCAGCGGTCGCGTCTAGATGGAGGTGAAAAAGTAGATTCCCATGTAGAGCGCGACGTCCGTGCACGTTAAAGAACACTAGATGATCAAAATTTCTGGAGACCTCAACTACAGCATTCCTCATAATCATATTGTGTTTTTTTTTTCACGTAAAACCACACATACTACTACTACCACCACTACTATTATATATATACTACTACCACTACTACATCATTTCGCTTGCGTTTGCCTTCACGTCGTTCCTTCATCTAGCCTTTACAAAAAAAACAATATGTCGTGCTTGTTGCATGTTGGTTTTGTTCCTACGTGTAATTCGCAATGCCTGCGGCCTATAGGTGGTGCGCCTTGCGATACAAGATGGCTACGGAAGGATAATCAACCCGTGAACTTGCATAGGAAAAGATAGGACGGACGGACATACTCCCCGTGCCACTTTCACCGGATGAACACTTGATCGTCAAATGAATGTACATTGGACCAAGGTAATTTCCTAAACTGTAAGAACTGCTGAATGTTCGCTACCTCACTTCTTGGCGCAGTGGAAGGGTGGTGGTGTCTGCGGATCGTCCGTGTATCAACGATGCTTTGCGTAATCCTGTGCGTGCTACAGAAAACTGCACTAACTGGAATTCACATATGACCTGAACGGCACTTAGAGATAGTTTGTGCCGAGCCTGCCTGGCGAAATACCCGCAATAGTAGGCCACAAGCGAGCAGCGCCATCGTGGCTGCACAGGACCGAATGTTTACCGTAGCGATGGTTTGCAAACATGTTACACCGTCATCATTACTTGCGCTGTAAGCATCATGCAGCTGCTTCAACATAACACAAGCATTTAACTTCCCATTAAGTATCACTTTCGTGCCAGCCATGATCAGACTTCAACAGTGCGCAATTCGCTGCACTCGGATGTTGCAGGTTCCATCAGCGCAATCGAAACAAGAATATCGAAAAGAGTACACATGTACGCTTTTCGCCCCGTCAAAGTTGCGAAAACTTGACGAATAATGTCTTTCGGACGGTACGGGTGAAGTGCAGGAGAAGTTAGCGAGGACTGTAGTCGTAACTGCATATCTACAAAACGCCGCGGCATGCGGCGTTTTGTAATATGCACTGTAATTGGGCTATATGCAATGCACACGAACTAAGTTTTTTTTTATTTTGAGCTCGCTGAAGGACATTATACAATAAATACAATCAAAGTGACTTACGAGCACGGAAAAAAAAAAAAAAACATTAACGCACGAAAGGACGGGAAGTGCAACTCACTGCTCGTGAGCTAGCAGATAATAGTTCATCGTCGCTGTCACTCTCAGCGTGTTGACAACCATATACGTCCAGTGAAAAATCCTCGACGTGAAGACTGTTTCTTTGAACATCACAGCTGAAAGTAATTGAGGAATTCTCTCCCCAGAACGACTTCGATAGCGCCAACAACGCGTCATTTCACAGCCCCAACACAGCTTCACTCACCACATTTACCGTATCTACTCGATTCTACCGCGCCCTGGATTATAATGCGCACCCGGTCTCCACGACAAAAAGGAAAAAAAAAAGAATACTTGGATCGCAGCGCGCACCTATTTTTCTTGTTGGCCCGCACGATCACACCACTCAGAAAAACGACTCCTTTAGGGAGCGTCTTTCGTTTAAATATGAGGTACGGGGGGAAGCTTGTGCCTATCCGACGTGCAACGGAGCATTGCCATCACTCTAGTTTTACCGTGGCCCAATGTCAGCACGCGAACTTGCTTCGCCCCCTTTTTCTCGACAGTTGTGGTGACAGGCATGTCGAAGTAAAGAGGAGTCTGATTGGCATTCCCGATTTTCCCAAGCAGTTAGCCGTTGTTGCGCCGCAAGTTTACGACAAACCTCTGAAAACTGTGAAGCTTTTCTTTGTACTCCTCCGGCAACCTTTCGCATATGCCCGTTCGCCTTCGGAGGGAAAAGCCTTTCCTCTTCATAAAGTTATTTAGCCAGCACGTGCTCGCTTTAAACTGGCTCTGCATTAGCCCTTTTTCTAAGGCTAACTGCACAGCCTGCACTTGGAGCAGTTCTGTCGTCACAGGCCGCCGTGCCGCTCACTGCTCAATCACATACTCGCCGAGCAGCTCTTCAATTTGCGGAAACCGACCCTGCTGTGGTCCACTGAAGCCTCTGCGTGGATGTTTGCTGTCGACAATCTTCTGCTTTTGTTTCCGCCAGTCCCGCACGCACGTTTCAGGAACTCCGAATGACCGCGATGCGGCCCGATTCCCGTCAGTTTCGGCACACGTGATGACTTTTCTTTTAAAAGTGGCATCTTGGTGCACTCGTCGAGTTTTTAAAGTCGGCCCTTCTATGCGGTCGATGCTAATGCCCTACAAGATGACGAACTTCTCAGTGTGCTGAGAAGTTCGTCATTTGCACCGCAGAACGAGGGAGCGTTGGGAGCGTCTGCCTTCTGATCATCCTTCAGAGGACGCTCCTGAATTCTGCTAGGCAGCGCGACAGTCTATGAACATTGCGAATACGGGCGGTTTGACCGTGTCAGACTTTGCAATTGCGGTGTCGCGGGATGCCATAAGCAATGGTGTTTGCTCAGCACCACACTCAACTGCTGTTAATTGCGAGTCGTACAATAGGACCCTGTGAAAATCCCCAGTATTGAAGGGTTTTCAAGGACTCAAACGAAAATACAGGACTTTCAAGGCCTGGAAAACGAATTTTTCAATTTCAAGAGTTTTCAAGGATTTCAAGTACCTTTGCGCACCCTGCATGACGAATGACCTGAAAAATGTTCTTTAAACATAATATCTGCCCCACCACGGTGGTATAGTGACTAAGGTACTCGACTGCTGACCCGCACATCGCGGGATCGAATTTCGGCAGCAGCAGCTGCATTTCCAATGGAGGCGGAAATGTTGTAGGCCCGTGTGTTCAAATTTGGGTGCACGTTAAAGAACCCCAGGGGGTCGAAATTTCCGGAGCCTTCCACTACGGCGTGTCTCATAATCATATGGTGGTTTCGGGACGTTAAACCCCACATATCAATGAAACATAATATCTGGAGTTTCAACTGTTAAAACCAAGATATGATTATTAGGAATGCCATAGCGAAGGGCTCCAGAAATCTCAATCATTTGGTGTTTTTTCATATGTACTGACACCGCTTAGTACGCAGGTCTTCAGTATTCAGCCTCAATCGAAATAAGACTGCTGTGTCTGGGGACAAAACCTGAGAACTGAAGTTCAGCAGTGAAGAACCATAACCACTGCATTACAAACGATTTGCTAGATGTCTCTAACGCATTTGCATGCACCAACACATGCAGTTCAATGAAAACAAACAATGGTGGCCAACTTACTTCATTCACCAATACTGTGTCGCCGATAAAAAGGGCATATGTCTTGATACCTTCATCACCACTTCCTTTCAATGGAAGGCCAGAAAAGCCTATGTTGATGTTGAAGACCATACCTAGAAATTAAGATGTCATTATAGTGAATGTTACTTCATTATAAATTCAAAACAGCTTATATAGCACCCTCCAATGCAAAACGTGCTGGTGTTTCCTTTGTGGTAGCACATCAAATTGCAAATGTGGTGCTGTGCCGACACCTCAGAAAAGTGATACAGTGCTGCCATCTTAATTACAAACAACTGAATTTGAGCTGAAATGTACAAAGACGGGATAAAAAAGGTAAGAAACACGACTGTAGATGCTCAAGGTACAAATTATTTGAAAGTACATAAAGTACAGTACAACTCCATTAAATCGAACTAGGTTATTTCAAAATCCCACTTAATTCAAAGGATTACTATGGTGCCAGTGTTTTGCAATGTAAATATGAGTGGATGATTTGAAATGACAGCCAGCACAAATCTAGTTAATCGGAAAACTTTGGGAGCAGTGTGCCAATTCCCGATATAGATTTTGCTGCGAATCCGTGGAAACTAGTGTCCTTTGAAGCCACAAAGCAATGCATTAAAGGTGTACTAATGAGTGACAGGAGAAGCGTCCTAGCCTTGCTTCTGCCAGTGTTAAATAAATACACAACTTAGCGATCGGCTTCACGCAAATTTCACGGCTGACAGTTTACAGAGAAACAGCACCCACAAAACTTGCAGAACCTGTGTACAGGCTGTATGCGTTTCGCGGTCTGGATTTGAGCGTACAAAGGGAGCCACATTATCCGTAGCAGGTAGTTGAAGCATTATCACAAGCGTGTCAATGTGTGGTGAACAAACCAACCTACAGCTAGTGCATGCTGTAAAGGAAGGTGTTATTGCGGGACCAAATGTAATGAGCACAGATCATAGATCAGTGAATCTTTATTACTATTTCATCAGACTAATCTTATGTTTAGTGCCCTCTTAACTTCCATAAGAATGCTATAAAAAAGAAAACCAAACAACAAACCTTTTCGAGCAACAGCTGTGGTCTTCGGCTGAATCACCAAAGAGCTCTCACGAAATTCTATTCCAGTTGCAAACCTTTGGATAGGAAGAGCAATGAGGAAAATTACCATAATGAAAAGAGCAACATCATTAATGAAAACAAAGCAGTTCCCTAGGCTAAATAAAAATAAAATATCAGAACAAGAATTTAACAGCTTCTTATCAAAAGAACACGATAGGCACAAATATAGAACACAAGAATTAACAGCTTCTTATCAAAAGAACACGATAGGCACAAATATATCAAGGAACACTTCTCACTATGGAAACACCATGGTTTGTAAGTGTTTCCCAACACAAATGAACAAGGTGAGGTAGCCATGCTTGTGCAATGACCACCCAAATCTTTAATGACTATCAAACATTTCATACAGTTCTGGAGTGTTTTCAACACAACTTAAAGGGGTCATGAAAAGAAAACGATGCTGTTTGGTTAAAATTTTCCCTACATAATTTAGAATTAGACATGCAGATTCTGAAATATTTCCCCAATACGCTTTGGGTTTTTTTTTTTTTTTTTGTCGCTCCTACATGTGCTCCAGGAGGCCTTATCAGTCTGTTCATCTCTTTTCGGTGGTTACTCATGGCGTGCCGTGCTAAGCTAATATAATGAGTTTATCTATGCTTGGGACCAAAAAGTGAAAGCAGGTTTTGCTAAGCGAGAAAGTGGATCGCACCATTGAATCGCACCACAAGAATGTGGATGAGTGGAGGCCTTCACGCTGCAAAGTTTGTACTGCACACGCAAAAAAAAAAAAAAAAAAAAAAAACTTCTTAAAGTAAACATGCATTTTTTTTAGTATTCACTTGTGCAATTGTTTTTTCTCGTGAAAAACGAGTTCAAGAACCCACCATTCTAAAGGTGAATCGTTTTGGTCGGTGGAAAATAAGTACTTATAGTTAATTTTTGGTCTTTCACTATAATGACCTTTCATATAACAAACTGCCATGGCCCCCTGAATTCGTTATACCAAGATTTCACTGTATCCCTGAAAATGCGCGAAGCTACACTTGAAGGAGGATATACATACATACTACCAGGGGTGAGACAGCCGCGACTAAATTGGGAGCAGTAATCTTGCTTGGGTGCAGTTAGCGGCATTTAATGTGCCGTTCTGAGAGCTTGAAAATACAAACTTTTAGCAACATAGGGTAACCAGTGCATATTTTAATTGGTTTAAAATACACATAACACAGAAACAGATTTCCAAGGAACTTTTTAAACATATTATTCCAGATATGAACTGCACAACCTTTTTACATATCACGTGACTTATCTAGCCCTCGTAACAAACATGTGAAATAAAATTATTAAGAAATAAGGTTTCGTTGAAAACTGTGTTCCCCGAAAAACGCATCAGTCAAAAAGAAATGAAAAAATTGTGATTACACAAGACTTTTAATTACGTAACACTGGTACTTCGCCTAAAAAAAAGTCCGACATGATAACGTCAAGAGCTTTTAAGACAACAAAAGCGCGCTGCACCGCCATTCGCAGCCACCTCGTGCAGAACCACCTTCAAGATTACAGTGCTGAATCCAAGAAGCGTGCATATGACACCAAGCGATAAGCGAATGATACTACTAATGCCTCTCCATGCCATCAACCACGCGTTATTAATACGGCAAACGGTGACGAGTTTTTGTTTTAATCATAGGTCATCGCCGTCGATGTAGAACTCCCGATAATACATCGACTTGCGATTGCTGCTCCACGACTCACGTAAAGCGCTCGCGCAGTGCAGATACGAAAGTCGTATCTACGCACACTAACTGCCGAACGTACTTCATTGCATAAGAAGAAAAGAAAGGAAAACGAAGTCACTCTGCCGCCGACCGAAACCACAATCGAGCTAAGCCTAACAGCATAGCCCAGAGTCGGCACGCATGCAGCGACGCCTCTTAAAAAGCGCTTTGCTGAGAGTTTAGGTTGCAAAACGAAGCAATGGCAAATTATAAAACTGTGCCGTGTGATCGCTGACGTGTCATGAATCACGAATAAAGCGGCGGGGTGCCCATTCATATCTTTAAAATGGTTTGAACGCAGGTTCTGTTACCACGGCTTCGCAAATAACCAAGTATTTCTCTCTTTTTGCAGACACTGATGCGCGGAGTTGATGTGCTATTGCTTTTTAAATGCAAAATGCAATGAAAACTCACTTGTCTAAATAAGTAAATAGCTAATGGGCGTAAACCGGGAATGGGCTGCACGCGCTATGTCGCTCATAGAACCCATGTGCAAGTGCCAGAGCATCCACGAGACGCGTCGCATGCAGCGAAATGACGTCACGTTTACAGTTATTAGCTTACGGGAAACGCACACGCGTAGGTGACCGGAGGAACACGTTATGCACAACAGAAAACCTGAGAGTCAACCCTGTTACGCTCACTACTCGAATCTGTGGTTTCCACAAGGCGACTGACACCAGAACACACAGCTTGGCTAGTCGAAGCAGCACGCTCGATGCATGGCAGCACATTTTTGCGGGAACAGTTTAGAGCAGATTATGACGGCACCACGAGAGCCTTCGTCACCACAAAAGTGCATGCAAAGTAAAGAAAAATACGCGATTGGACGCATCTCATTAGTGAACTCTGCCTTTTTTTCTCACTGAAGCTGAGGTTGGCATCAAAATTCTAAATCACGAGGCTGTTTTGGAGCAGTTCGGCGCAGTTTTCGAGAATTTTATGCCTTTGGAGCAACTTGGTGCAAGAAAACAGAAATGTATAAAAAATGCACAATATGCGCAGCTGTCTCACCCCTGATACTACCTTCACCTACATTTAAAAGCGTGCTGTATGAGCTTATATGTGTTAGGTGTATCATAGCTGCTTGTGCACACCCTTTTGTTATGAGCACAAACATGCCAGTGTTTCATTTCCCACTATCCTTGTCACACTAACCTTCTCGCCCAGTGTGGCTACAAATATGATGCAATAAAGCAATATGAGGATTCTTTTCCTCGGCTCGAGCTTGCGTTGTTCAGTCAGTCACCATGACTGATACATGGTGTCAGAAGTGGGATTCGAACCCATGCTCACATACGGGGACCATAGTCATATTTAAAAATGGTACTGCTGCACAAATCTTGCTACAGTTCGAAGTTGCTTCCACTTCCCTTTGAACAACAAAAAAAAGTCACAGCTTTGTTGCAAAGGTGAAGCAATGAACACGATAACAACAAATTGGAAGGTCGCAGCAGAATTGCAAGCAGATTGAAACGTGCCCAGTATTTCTCGTGCACAAATGACGCACGAAACATACTCACAGGTACAGATGAATGCGAATAAGCGTCTAGTTTGTTACTTTGCTGTGTATGAAAACACGGTGTCTATTAATTTAATATTTCTAAATTCCCATGACTTTTCCAGGTTTTCCATGATGATTAAAAGCAAATTCCATGACTGCCACGCCTGCTTGGAAAACTCTCGCGACATTTGGCGCGAGACGCGAGCATGCACAGCAGGGGTATAGGCAGCACCACCAACGCGGGATTAACGAGTAGGTGCGACTATAAAATGCTTTGCATTTAAAAGACGCTTGCATCATACATGCACCCGAAATGCAGATACAGCCGACAGTACATTCGCTAAAGAGGAGGGATGGGACGCTTCTGACAATGTACTCTCGCTACTTACGTGACATATTTAAGCATACTTAAGGGGGGACGTGGCCCTTGAAAAGCGAAAAATCGCAAAAAACCCGTTTTTTTGAAAAACGGGGAAAAAAAATATGTATGTCACATAAATTACCTATTCCATAAATATCAGTGCCTAAGTCAACTCCTAAGTGCAAAAAAGATGATATTTTTGAGGTCGCCACAGCGCTCAAACCATGCGCAAAAGACAAAATAAAATCAAACTTCACGCGTGCGCCATTCTTAGACCATGCGGCCATCCCACACTATCTTGGTCTTGTTTTGAACGTGAATTCTTTCTCTATTATAGTTTTCCACCTTTCAAAATGGCATCAACGGAGCGGTGGAAATGCTATCAGCGTTTCTGCAAGATGCGATGTGGAGTGCTAATTGGTCAGAGCAGCTCATTCATATCTCGCTGGCGAAAGCACGCCCGCAATTGGCTGCTGTGTTGGAAGCAGGGGCAGTCCCTCTTGGCGATGGCACATCCGGCGCGCTCATCTCGCTGTTGCTCTCTGCTTCATCCGCTTCAGTAGACGTTTAATTACGGGCCGCTTTTTGCATTGCACTGTATTTTCGATCAATTTCTCTTTTTTAGTTTTCGCACAAGTTCTGTGCCCTTTATTTTTGTTGCTGTGCATGATGCCGGTAACGAAGCCGAACACTGTGCGCCAATTCAGAGCGCGGAAACGCCTTATGGGGATTCTATGAGAATCGAAGTTCCACTTTTCTACTGCAAAGGCCCAGTGCGCAGAATACTTGGATGATTTTGCCAGGGTGTAACAAGCTTTTTTTTTTTTTTGAAAATTTGTGCCATTAATTATTCATAAACAATTATTTTTTGATAAATGTCACACCTACTAGCTACGTGAAATTCAAAGTTGCATATAATGTTTTTTGGAGGGGAAATTGAAAAAAAAAAAAGGCTCTTTAGCACCCTAGGATATCTATCCAGGAATGACCACAAAAAATTTCAGCCTTATGTCCTAGGATTTCTTCCAGCTCTTCCTCAGGCACACAAGTGAACCACCCAGTTAGACCTCTGTAACTCTAGAACTACTGAACACAATTTCATGAAACTTTGCAGTTTTTCTAGCTTTATTGTAGTGAACATACCCTGAAAATTTCATGGATATCTTAAAAAATAAATAAGTTCGGTTTCCAGGGTAGCCTCTCCCCTGAAGTATGCTGTGCCTTTCTTATGGCTTTTACTGTGAGCAAGGCCCATTTCAAGTGCTGATTCAGCACCCATATCAGGTGCTGAAACGTCAGTCAACTGACGGTGTATCCTTTCACACTTTAAGAAGCAACAGTTATGCACTGTTCTCTTTTTACGCGCCGTCTAGAAGCTCACTGTAGTTGCAGTTAAAACATTGACCTTTTAAGCTTTGATCAATGGTAATGCTTATTTTTGCGATGGTCGCACAGAATTGCTGCGAGTTTCCAAACCTGGCCAGGTTTTTCAGAAATTCCCCGACTTTTCCATGACTTTTCCAGAAGGGTCCAAATTATTTCTCCGACTTTTCCAGGTTGGTAGACACCCTGGAAAAGTGTGCCCTTTTCATAAACAGAGACTGTGCGATAAATGCAGTGATCTTTGTGTGCCCGGTAACTACAAAAGAATTGTTCTGGTGAAAATCTAAAACCAGCCAAGAGGTACGATCCTCCAAACCACAAGATAAGGCTCCACCCACCTCCTCTCCGCGGGGCAAAGAACACGTGAGAGATGAGAGCATGCAGAGTCGCGTCATGACGCCACGTGCTCATTGTGCCATCTTGCTGGCAATGCTGGAAACACAGTAGCCCCCCCCCCCCCCCCTCCCCCCCGAAGATGCCCTTCACTAGCGGTAAGTGCTAGATATAAATAGCTTGCCGTTTGAACGTTGAAGGAGGTGCTCCTCCGTGGCTCAGTGGTTAATGCCTCGCACTCGCGTTTCAGAGGTCCCACGTTTGATTCCATGCATCGTAATCTTTTTCTGAATTATTTATATTGTTTGCTTTCTCATATATATATATATATATATATATATACGTATACATATATGGTGACTGATGGCGATGCTGGAGGCAAAATACAGGGAGAGTGTGCATACAATTATCGCAAATGCCTAGTTCTAATTCTTAAAGGTGCCCTGAAACACTTTTTCAAGTAACCACGGAATGAATTCACTGGAAGAGCTTGCTGCCTATGAATTCAACGCCGCAAAAAATGTTAAGAATCCTTCCAGTGTGAGTGCAGTTACAAAGGTTTGTAACTGCATAACTGCAAAGGTTTGCAATTGCATTTTCCCTTTTCTTATCTTAACAAATGAAAGCTAAGCAGAGAGGGATGGCAGGGTTACCAAAAAAACGTGTCACGCGTGCTTCGCGACCTTGAGCACTTTTTCTTTTTTTTCTTCGAATGCGCAGTTTTTTCGGTGCGATTGCACGCGTGTGTGGTCAAGTAGCGGCCTCCCGCAGTTATCTCTAACGAGCGAGCGCACCATGTTCAAATCAGACAATGACTAATAGATGGGTCATTGACGTGCGCTTTTGGGGCATATAACGTGATTTGTCGGGAGAAGAGAGAGAAATCTTTAGCTGACTGATAACTTATTGCGAATTCCAGACAGCATGCTGTGCTATATTATTTGGCTCACATGTTGTCAGGAGCCTCTACTACCGATCGGCAGCTTTTTCCGACTATGCTCAAAAAGTGTCGTAGGGCCCCTTTAAAAATATTGTGCAAGTTATCTAGGTCATGACAAAAAAGCTCATTCTTAATATGAGATGTAAAATACTTGGACTATTTGATTCGAAATTATTCGACTAAATTCAAATTCGCTTCAAACCTCTTACTATTCGCCCACCCGTACTCCAAATATCAAACAGTTATGCACCCAAAAGGTTCCCAGCCGTGATTACTGGGTCAGTCACTTATTGCAAAAGAACTAAAATTAAAAATTTGAGTCAGTACTCCTTTAATAGCTAAATTCTACTCGCAGTGCATGAGAGCAGTTTATTCTCTGAACGTCACACAAAGGGTCAATGAACAGTTTCCACAACAAGCAGGCACCACACTCCGATTAACTTTTGGACACACGAAGGGCATCAAGCAGGTCTTCCCCCCATCAAAAGAAAAAATATATAGCTCTCCAAAACATCAAGTTGCCCTTAAGTGCAACATGTATAGCTTTTACTTGGTTATGCCAAGACCTTACACACTGCAACAGTCTCACAACCGTTAAGCCACTATCACAGATGCCGTCAGAGAACCCTAGTCAACTTGACAGTGAGTTACTGAACACCGATTGATATGTGGGGTTTAACGTCCCAAAACCATCATATGATTATGAGAGACGCGGTAGTGGAGGGCTCCAGAAATTTCTACCACCCGAGGTTATTTAACGTGCACCCAAATCTGAGCACACAGCCCTACAGCATCTGTGCCTCCATAGGAAATGCAGACTTACCCAACATTCTTGGTCATCTTGTCAGCAAGTTCTTTGTGGTCTTTGTTCACACGGGCCATTACAGCTGCAAACACATCGCACAGCTTGACTCCATCTCGAAGTTTCTCAAGAAGCACTTCTTCCTCAAGCTTCAATAAGAATTCGTAGAGGTCCTGCTGCTCTTGGTTAGGATTTACCAGCAATGTGCGGACTATGTTCGAGCAATAGGATTTGTAGCGGGCCCCCAAGGCACAAGTGATGGCACCATAGTGCAAATTATTCTTGTCACTGTGGAGAAGAAACACCAAAGCAACATATTAATTGTATTACCACTTTAAGATCATGACATTTTTAAAACATATAATCTTCCACAGTGAGAACAATGTTGCAAAAGAAAAAGTCGCGGAAATATAAAATGAGAATTATGGGCACTTTTGTTTCAGCATTTTTTTTCTTTAATTCTGTTTCCGAGTGACCTTGCCAGAGAATAACAATCAATAACAATCCCCCCCCCCCCCCCCCGTTAAAAGCTTACATTACTAATTTCTGATATGCATTTATTCTTGGATGCAGTTTTTACTGGTATAAGAAAATCAAAGTTGTCTTAATTTTTGGAGCTGAAATAAAAAAAAATTGTGAACCTTAATGTTCAATTTAATTTCCTTAATGGCACTAACCCCAAATGCTTGGTTCACTACCCAGGCTTGCACCTGCGTATCGTATGTCAGTAAGAGCCACATGTGATTTCTCTTTCAATCTCTATGCAGCTTATACACGCACAGACTTGGATCATACTTGCCTATCCAATCCAGGTGTTGTTATTTATGACATGACAATCATGTCATGTCATTATTGTCACAACTTATCAGTCTTACCAAGTCACACCTTTGTACCCTTTTGTGCTAACTTCAATAGTTTTTTGTAAATTGGTCTTCTTTATTACCACTTATTACATGGCGAGTTTCTGCACAAGGAACATAATCTCCCTAATACCAGTGCAAAAAGAAGGGGGAAGCTTTGTTGCCTTCTGTAATATCTCTTTCAAAGGACCACAACAAACCTAAGCTTCCCACTATGTTTTAAATTTCTCCACGCTACTCCTTGAGGACATACCATCCGTTACACAACTGTAACTGGAACTTATTGTTGGAGCACACTCCTGAAACACTGCAGTTATAAATTTAGTGCTGATGCCATACCTATACCCAACATCCATATGTTTCATACCTTTAAAAATAAAGATGTTGGGTCTCCAGGATAGTCTCCCCTTTAATTATATGAAAAGCTTCCACCTTACTACTAGAAAGGCACAATATTAATAAGGACTAACAGGCAATGATGCCAAGGCAAGTATAGAAGTCATTATTAGAAATTGTAATGTAAATGTGAAGAAAAGCAAACAAAAGATAACTTGCCCCCAGCAGGGACCGAACCTGTGACAATAATATATAATACATCAGATACTCTACCAACCAAGCTACAGTGGTGGCCATCCCCTTTGTCCACTTTGTGGGGTATGTACGTATACGCAGTTAAAACTGGTAGTATTATTCAGCGCTTCCAGTAGCCATGACGGCGAGTGAGGAACACTTTTTGCCTGTTGGCGTCATATAGCACGTGATCTTATTACGACCTGGCAGCTGACCAATCATCCCTCTGAAGCCACCTGAAAGCATCAAGTCTGCCAAAACGAGACCCTCAATTAATGCAGAAAAGACAGATGATGCCAAGGAAAGTGTAGGGGATGTTGTTGGCAGTAATTGCAACGTATATGTGAAGGAAAGTGAATGAAAAGATAATTTGATGCTAGCAGGGACCGAACCTGCGACCTTCGAATAATGCATCCGATGCTCTACCAACTGGGCTACAACAGCAATCATCCCATAGTCCACTTTTCAGGGTACACAATTAAACCTGCTTAAAACGAAACTCCAAATAACGAATTCCTCGACATAAGGAAGGTTTTCTAGGCCCCATCGTTGCTCTATAGAAGCACATGTATTTGCGACCTCTATGCAACAAAGTAACAGCGGGAGACAACCTTGATTTTTCCCCCTAGGAATTTTCCCCCCCGGACTATCTAGGAATTTAATTTCACATTTTGGCACGAGCTTGCATCTTCCACGGCTGCTCCATTGCCGACAAATCGCGAGGCGGCGGCGCGCATGGCCACACCAGGCGGGCCTGCACCCCATGAGCCGGCGTTGCCGCCATCCCCCCCCCCCCCTTGCGTTCAGATCGAGCAGATCAGCTTGGCGTTTCAACATTAAAGGAGGTGCTCCTTCGTTACTCAGTGGTTAACGACTCGCACTCGGTATTCAGAGGTCCCACGTTCGATTCTGCTTGCCAGAGTCTTTTTCTCGATTATTTTTCTTGCGTTCAGATCAAGCAGATCATCACCTACAATAGGCACATTCAAGAATGACAACTAATTCCACACACATGCCTCAACAGAATGATTTATTTGTGTGAAAAAAAAATTGGTAATCTCGGCCTGGTTCGTTGTTTTTGAAATGTTAAAGACGCTAGTCTCCATCTTATCAAGGCTGTCTAGGTGCGACAGCCGGGTTCCCCCCATGTGGCCGATACAATGGCGAATGGTGCCGAACCCTGCCGCCACTTCAGCGGCGGAGAACGCGCGTGTAGCCAGCGCCCCGTCCGGATGATCCTCCTCGTCACATGAGCTGTCGGCCTGGACATTGCAGTCTGCTTCCACGAAGTCGTCCGCAAACACTTCATGTAGAACTGCTACCGGGAAGCAGGACAACTCGCGAAATGCATCTGCTACTGGGAAACGGGACAATTCGCGAAATGCATCGTCTGTGCGCTCGTCGTCCTCATCGTCACCGGTGTACGCAAGCTCCACAGTCTTGAAGCCTGCCTTGCAGAAACAATGGACCACTGTGTCCGTCTTCACGTCTCGCCAAGCATTGAAGATATCCACAGGAGAAAACTTCGCGAAGATTTCTGGCCACTCCTTTGTGATCCACTGCTGGATGTGCTGGCTTTTGACAGCTTCACTTTCATCAAAATTGGTTTTGCCAACGATGTTGTAGCACTGCTTAAATCAGTGAAGCCACCCGATCAGCATAACGGCATCCACCGGAATGTTTTTCGCGCGCACTTCTAAAACTAGACATAGAGTGTCTTTTCTACATTCCCATGGGCATAAGCGCGCACATGACAAGCCTCCGACGTTCGCTGCTCAATCGCCTTTGCCTTGATATCTGCCTTGTTTTTCAACAAGGTACTCTGAGTGCTCCATAGTATCCCGAAGTCATTCGCGGTGGTCGAACATTTCTCGCCCACCTCAACATCCTGAATAGCCTTCAACTTCGTCGCAAAGTCAAGGGTCATGCCCTTGTTGGCGCTTGCCATAGCTACACGAGAAATCGACAAGGATCTGCAGTGGCTTTGCACATCCCGCACACAAAAGAAAAATGCTGCACATGCGGTGGTACGTAGGTGACGAGACAGCGGAAGCAACAAAGGCGCGAGTTGTGGTTGGCTGATCAAAACTCGCAACAAAACAGCAACAACAACAAAAAAAGACGAAAGGAGGAGACGTCAACTCCTTCGTTCCTGCTCTCCAAGCCGACGGGTACGCAAAGAAAGCATGAAGACAGAAAGACAAACAAGAAAAAAAAAGCCATTCTGAAAGTTAGAGGTTGTGCCGTTGATTATGCAATCTGAGCCCTTTCACCCTTACCATTTTTTGAGCGTTTCGGGTTTTGGCGGAGGCGTGGTGTCGCACAGAAGTCGCGGGACTCTGCGAGTGCCAAAGCGCACCTTCCAACTCACGAATAGAGCCGCGCTGCTGCGAAGATCGTGGGAGAGGGGGAGTGCTGAAGCGCACCTTTCAGCTCGCGCGGCGTTCGATACATTTCAAGATGGGGGGAATACAGTTCTATACAAACGTGCAAATTTCTATACTTTTACGAAGGAATTTCAAGGGGATAACTTGAGAGTTCGGTACATAGAAAAAATTCTATATATGTGGGTTCGATATAACCGTGTTCAACAGTAATTGCTATCACAACAAAAAAAGCAAAAAAGCAGCCCGAGCTCGGCGCCCAGCTCTACCATGCGTACTTTGCCCCGCGAATGGGGGGCGGGCGGGGGAGTAGATGTTTGTGCACGTGCACTTATTCTTCGTTGGGGAGAATCGCACGCCTTCAACTATGACCAGAACGATTGTGCTTAGCTGTTAGGCGCACAAAGATCACTTCGCTCGCTGGACAGGCGCCGTTCGCGAAAGGAGTGCACTTTTCAAGCACAGCGAAGTAACAACTGGGGCACTTGTTAGTTTGCACTCATATCTGGACCCGTGATTACGTTTCATGCCTCGCTTTTATTTAAACAGTGCGTTAAGTGTCCAGCGGTAAACATCATTTCGCTCTCGTCCTGTGTATGTTTTTATGCGTCATTTGTGCGTGAGCAGCCCGCTGTACATTTTGATCCCCTTGCCATTCTCAGCATTACAATTGAAGTTGTTGCTATCGTATTCATTGCTTCGCCCTTGCGGCGAAACTGTCTTTTTTTTTTTAACTCCGAACAACCGTTTTGTCACCACCGAGAGGATGTCAGATTCGACGCTGATGGAAACTCTCCGAGACCACGGTGACGACAGTTCTTTAGAAGTTGACTCGTTACGCGCTTCTGTACTGCGCCAAAAGTTCGCAAGCTGGTAGCTTTCACGATTAACCAACTAGTTCTGGCAACGCGCCGGCGTGTTGAATATAAACGTGATAGCAAAAATTGTAATGTTATAAATGATAAGGCTGGCAGCCAACTCTTTTGGATACGATAACGCGAAACTCCTAGAAAACGATGGTGTGAGTAAATACGGCCACTCCAGGTAGAAGTGCTTTTTTTCACACAGTCCCTCACGTTGAAACCGCACTGATACTGGCCTAGATAGCAAGCGCACCAGAAATTAGGACTGTCCTTAAAATCCAAGTTTATTATTGCTACTCAAGCAATCCCCCCTCCCCCCCTTTCCTGCGACATGAAAGCAGTGCGACGATGCCACTAGCTTTTTTTGCACGAGAATTTGTAAACATTTGCACTTCTTTTAAATAAACTTATTCTATTCCGTTTTGGAGCAGAGACTTACTATTTGGTATTCATACACCTTTTTTTCTTCCCCTTTGCTTTTAAAATTTGACCTATTATATTCCAGTTCGTATATTATGCTGATATTCACGGCCCAACCTACAACCAACAACACTAAACCCACACTACACACCAACCTGACGACGCTGAACTTGAGGTTGTAGTTGCCACCGGACTGAATGATGGCTGGATAACAGGAGTCCACTTGAGATGGATCTACACCACCTAGATACTTTTTATCCTGGAAAGCCTGATCCACACCCTCAGCAAGCTTGCAATGCTTTACTTTCTGGAATCGAAAGAATTATCATTACAAAGACTAACTCCTTAAGAACTGCTTACACACAGTACTTCCTTTTACTCTCATATGCAGTTCACTGACTATACCCTGAACTCTTTAATGCCTGAATTATGAAACTTGGGAAGAAAAAAATTGTTTTCATTTTTCATTTGCCATCTTTAAAAAGCATCCTCTAGGCATTTCTACAGCTAAATTTTCTGAAATGCACCTTTAATGCATATTTTATGTAATTCTCCACATGTCACAGAAGCGAGCACCTTGCAATAAAAAATGCACTTGAGAACTACACAACATTTCATGTGCCACATCTTGAGCGCGTACACACTAAATAAAATTATCGAAGACAGAACTTGTGCCAGCCAGGCAAAAAAGAACGAAGAAGTGAGCGCTCTTGGACGCACGTCACGCTCCCACCATCACCTACAAAACAATTGTTTCTAGCATAAAATATACTACCCAAGATAGCGCTAAATTTTTCATGCTGAAAGCTACGTTCCCCAAGAGTACTTTAAGGCATGCATAATGTTACATGCTTGCTCACTCTTTTTCACATTAGGCAGTACCCTAGAACACTTGAAATAGCTATCTTTACGTTGTAGGTTGCATGGACTGCAAGCTGGGGATAACTTTAGCGTAAGTCAAAGAACCAATATCAAAAAGTATATTATTTTCATCATGAAATCAAGTCACTATATCACTGCGGACTGCATCAATATGTAGTGGCCCACGTAAAAACTACTGCAGGAGAAAATGCCTACAGAGAGCGCAGGACTACAATTTTACATATACAACTATATTGCAATATTGCCGTTCAAAAGGTTTCAGACCTTATCAGCATCAATTATCTCCATGATCTGGTCCCGCAGATACTTGGCATACACATCCACAGTGACTTGGCAGGCCTTCTTTGTAAGGGCTATTTCCTGCTCCTCCTTGGGTGCCATCACATAAGCCACTGCTGCACTGACATCCACCTTCCATCCAAAAGATAAATGACACAGAAAATAAACGACAGCAAGAGCATGCAAAGCACAATATCAAAATCTGTTCATAACCTTGAAACTGAACTTAATGTGCAACCCTATTCATGAACAGGCACGGTGTAGTAGCAACACAAGTGCTTGCTTCAAGGCCAGAGCTTCAGAACGATCCCAGACTTATTTAGTATCATGTCCTCGAGTGAGGTAGGCCTAAACACAGTAGCAGCCAATGTAATGAGACAGCATAATGCGAGATTGCACAATGCATTCAACTTTTTCAAGTCCAGCACAGCCACTGGCTTGTCTCCTCCTGTCTAGGCTAACGTCAATCCCGAAAATATTGAACTTGATGGGGACCGCGAGATTGTTTGGTGTATCGACGAATTGAAACACAAAATGCGCATATTGAACGCTCTAATTAAAGCCTTTCAGGCCTCGAGAAAGATTGTAGAAATAGTAACAAGAGCTAACACGACAATTCGCTCACAGTATGATAAAGAACAAAGTTTGAAGTTCCTTTGTAAGTTACTGCATTTTTATTTTGCATGAAAACACAGTTGAACTCCCTCATAATCAACATGCACTGGGTAGCTAATCTTGTCTCTTGAATAAGGTGTCGCTTATAAGGAGGGTACCACGTATGCATTTTTTTATCAACCCTTATTTCAATGTAAGCACACCAGTGTCTCTTATACTTATTTGTCTCTTACATCTGTGTCTATTATAAAGAGGTTTGACTGTGGTCCAGAAACTTAACTTGCTTCTTGCATGCCGCCAAGTTCCAGTCCTCCCCAATATCCTTGAAGCTTTCAAAACAAGCCAATTTATCTCCTTTGGCTACAACAGCGTTGACTGATGCTTCGTCATGGCACAGCAATCTACATAGTGGATATTCCGCTGCACAGGAGTTCTATATATGTGTGCTCCAGTCCCACACTTTAGCATGGGAAATTTAAGCGGATTTCTCAACACGATATAGCCAACAATTCGATATATCAGAGTTTCATAGAACCGGGATCGACTGTGGAGGTTTTTAAAATGGAGTGCCAGTTCGGCACTGTTTATGGCCACACAAGTTATTTTATCATTTGAAGGTGCGCATGCATAAAATTAGGACTAACAATCATTATCATCAGTCAACCCCCCTTCCCTACCTTAATTGCAATCTATTCAATTCAACATAAACTGATGACAACACCAATATGGAGATATTTTGAGTGATTTTTGTGAAAATGATGCTGGAAAAGTCTGATTGATTGATGATTGATATGTGGGGTTTAACATCCCAAAACCACTATATGATTATGAGAGACGCCTGCTGGAAAAGTCTAACAGGCGTCTCTCATAATCATATAGTGGTTTTGGGACGTTAAACCCCACATGCTGGAAAAGTCTAATGATGGACTCCTAATAAAGCAAATTGATAGCTCTGATTTGATTTGAACACTAGTGCATGCTTCTAAATATTGACCAAGAAACTAGAGTAAACAATTATTCAGTGAATCAGATAACTTGGATTTATGTTCTTGTGCCACCATGTCAATTTTTCTAACTTGTATGGGGAAGGCGATAAAAATTTTGAAAAATAAGACATAAAACCAATATGCAATGCAATAAACACACAAAACAAACTTGCCAAGTCAAATTTTTCAGGTGCAATGGCAGACCGCCAGGCATCCATAAACTCGCCAGGAAATTTGTCTTTGCTGAATTCACCAACCACCTTGCCCTGTGAGGAGTTAAAAATGACAAGTGTTCAGCCAGAGATCCCACAATAATAATGGCTTGTGAACCAACCCCGACTACTGATTAACTGTCATACATATTCCCCTCAATGACAAAAATTAGGAGGGCGGTTCATGGGAGAAGCGCTGCCTAATGCGTGAAGTTGAATCTACTCCTGTGAAAAAGAACCCTGCAATGAAAACAATCTACCCAAATTTTCATTTTTTTTTTCATCCAAAGACATTCATTAATTTATCACACATGTATAATATTGAGAAGGAAAGTTCAGTAAATATTAACACCTCCAAACCTAAATCAGGTAAGCTCATTATGGCAATACAATAAGCAGTGATGCGATCGACATAAACCACTTTGGCGGAGCCACTGGACCAACATATCTTTACAGAGCAGTTGTACCAAATGTTTAAACTCTTGAAGGGTCAAAGACGTACAAGTATGTCATTGTCTGTATATTATAAACCCATGCCTCTTTTGATCATTTCGCTTGTTTGGCATGTGCTGCTGCACTGCATTCACTGAAAGATTTTTTTTAAAGCTTTACTAAAGCAGTGCGCCGGGTAGTATTGATTTCGTTTTGCGGCTAATTCCAGCTTGAGGCACCCACACAACTAGCTTTCCTGCTTAGAACCTTTTTTTCTTTGTAAGAACCTGCGCGCCTTAATAATTCGCGTCTGCGCCAGACAATAGTTGCACTGTCATAGAATGCAATATTTTGCTTGCGAGCTGAATTCAACCGTTAGTCAAGGCGCTGTTCTGCAAACAAAAAGGCTCCACAACGCGGACTATCTTTTTTCCTACTGGCACGCAGTCTTGCAAGCTTGGTAGGCAGTGTGGCGGCTGTTCTTCTGACCCTGCCCCTAAAATTGGTTCCAAGCGTGGTGCCCTCGGTTGAGCTTGTGAGTGCAATCTCGTTTCCACCCGATCTCATATTTTCTGGGGCGAACTCCAGGGTGGCTGCAAGACCTCAGGCTCGACCTAATGAGCGCTAACCCCATAACTGCCACATCAGTAGCACCTGCGGATATGCGGTTTGGTGCAGAGTCAATGAAACGCTTTGCAGTAGTTACAAATTGAAAGGGGTGAAGGGGTACGGAAACAACTTTCCGATTGTGAAAGCAACTTTCATCATTAACAAAAACGAAAGCATACATGGTGCATGCGCAACATTCAAGTTGTGCTTTGTGGTCACCAATGCTTCGAAAACCGCGCCTAAAGCAAGCGGAAATTCGGTAGCCCTATGCGGCGAAAGCCGGCGCATAGACAAGAAGCTCTTACAGGTTAGGTGGCAACTTTCTGCAATAGTGTTTTTACAGCGAAAGCTGTTATGAGATCACAACTCTGATCACGCACAGTTGTCTGCCGCTGCCCGTAACCGCAGCGCGAAATTAAAAAAAAAAAAAAAACCTAGCACCAAAGAGACAGTGGGGCTCGAAACCCGGGTCTGCTGGGTGCCAGCCCAGTATTCTACCATTGAGCTATGCCGGTGCTTGTGACTTGTTGGAATACCTAGTACCAAAGACACAGTGGGGCTCGAACCCGGGTCCACTGGGTGCCAGCCCAGTATTCTACCTTGTGGCTTGTTGGCAAACTTGCCTTAGGCAGGCTTGATGTTGGGAAAGCAATCACATTAACAGGACTTGTAAAGCATTTTAAAAACAGTGAAAAAACAACCAGTCGAACAATGCGAATAGCATAACAAGTGTGCCGTCCAATGCTCCAACCCATTACAAAAGCTTGTTCTTGTTCCCCTATTAAGGGGAGATGCTACTCGAAAAACGATTTTCTTTAATAAGAGTCTGAATTTACACAAATTGGCATGCTAATAGAGTTTTTTCTCCTCTTTTCAAATATGTCATTTATTTTCATGTAGATTGCTTGGTTTTCTTTCTGCAGGTCAGATACTGCAAAATTACGGCCATTGTTATGCAACAATTCTGACCTATAAAAATTTGAGATAAAGCGTGCAGATATAGCTGACTATGATCCTTTGGAACTGTAGAGTGCAAAAAACTATATAAATTTTGTGTGTAAAAAGGTGAAATACAATAATAAAATAGAAAAATTTACTATGGCTCTAGTTGCCAAGGGCTTTCAATGTTATGTAATTTTTGAAAAACATAATCAAGCAGCACTGACAATCTGAATAGATACTTGCACTCTATGGGCCTTCATCATGCTATGTGCAAAAGTTCATAGAGGTATGACAATTCTAAGTATACGAACTAGCGAGTATAAGAAGCACAGATCACACGAAACTGCAAAAGGAGAAAAACGCACTTGAAAGTTTGAAACCTTTTTTTTTATCACAGAGTTGTTAGAAATGCATAATCTTTGGCCATAATGTTCAACGAACTTTGAAAAGCACTGCAAGTTACTAGAACTGTCCTGCAGGATAGGCTGTGCCCTCACGGTCCTTGCGAGCACTCTCTTCTAGCCGTGCCCTTTTCACTCCACGACGACGGTGGGCCCTTGCTTCTGCTGTCAGACACTCGGACATTCTCTTGATGCGCCTCGCATCGCGGGAATCACTGAAAGTAACTAGATCTCTAGATGGCAGTATGTTGAGCTCTTCCAGGATGTGCTCGAAAGTAGCATGACCCTTGTTGAACCACAGGATTGCCATAGCTGCGGCAGTCTCGACAACCGTTCGGGAGACAAACTTAGTCTTGGGGCAAAGTAGCCAAATTTTCCTGTTCAGGGATTCCGATGCGTTCTGGGTTTTCCCTTTGATGCATCGAGCAAGGAGCTTCTCATCCGTTAGCCGCTTATAAATGGGCAAAACAGCCAATCCCTGTGCTTTTGTCAGGAGAGGTGTGTGGCGTGGTGCAGGTTCACCAAGTGCTTCAGCGCGTTGATGTTTGCACCACGACTCTATTCCTGCAGGGCAAAACTTGTGGCTGCCAGCATTGTCAGTAGAGCATGAGTGGAAGTAGGAAGCCCATACTGCAATGTACATATCCCGTACACTCCCCCTGTTGCTTGTTATGGCAATCTGATAGTATGTTTGGAGCTTCTGAATGGCTGGCTCTTTCATTTTCTGCCCTCGTGGTAATGGCACATGCAGCTTCCGTAGCGCGGTGCCAAGTCTCTTGGCCACATGATTAGTGCAGTCTTCTTTTTCTATATTCACAGCACCATAGACTTTTGACTCTGCAACTGCACTATATACTTTGCTGTCACTGTCACTCAAGAATGTCATGAAATGCAGTGGGGTGTCATAAGTCAATGTTCTCTGCCAAATGTGCATTGCAGCCTCCGTTTCCATGGCATGGGAGGAACAGTCTGCATTTTTTTTCACAGACTGGGCCATGGAGTGCCTGCCACACTTCCTCGTCTGGGCCCATATCCTTGTGCCTACAGCATGTCAGGCAGTAATTTGATATGACCTCGAAGTCTAAGCAGAGGCCAGTATCTAAGGAGATAACTGTGCCAATCCCGTTGTGGCTTTTGTGGCCCCTCTTCTGCCAAGTGCCGTCGAACATAACAGCCACATCAGTTTCGCCTGCTACTTCTTTCGTCAACTTTTTGGATCGGCGCAAGTTTTCCCTCACAGCTGCCATGGCAGCGGTGTGCACCTTCTTTGCTATCGAAAAAAATCCTCGGTGGTGCATTGGCTTTGGGAGTCCAATAATGGAGCAAAATCTCGACAATTGCTCATGCCCAATGCCGACAGCGCGTGCAGCCACCACCGCCTTCACATTTACAGCGAAATTATCTCAGGAGCTCCCACTGTCGTACCGTTGGCTCACTCGGCTGCTGCCGTCCGCCGTAACACGCAGTGACGTATAGGAGCACGAAAGAACAGTCGCTGAGCATTCGCTGTTTTCGCAATGAAGTTCGAGGAGCGACGAAAGTCTCTTGCGCTTTTCTGCCGGCTCCCGAACAGCAAGTTTTTGAATACCGCAAGCAGGGCATGCCGCACCCGCCACAAGTGCCGCCAGCAAGAGGGTGTCGCACAAAACTGTCGTAGCACAAACATCATCGCGCTGTCTTTCGTCTTTTTCGAAGAAGCCAAGCTTCTTTTCCGAAGCACTGACGAAAGAAAGCGCAGCGTCAATCCCTTCATCGCAGCCACTGTCGCTCGCGCACTCGTCGATGCCGCCGTTAAGCCTAGCACACGTAGGCGCGTTCTCGTTCGTCGCCGTCGTTCGGGGCGCCTTACGCCGCCTTCCCTTGAACTTGTGCTTTGTTCGAAACTTCTGCGGTCTCACGTTGCACTTTTTCGGGCTTGTCATTGCGGAAATATGCGTAGACGCGCAGAAATGCAGACGGACCAAATGCCGATGGCCGCCACCAACACAGCTGACAATGACTCGGTAGCCAATGGCGATGCGGCTTAGGGTGCCGCGCGTTTCAAACCGCTCAAACCACGTGATAAAAAGGCCTCGTTTATTTTTTTTTGCCCACAAACGAAACTGGCGGTCGTCGGAGCTGTAAGAAGAAAGCCGGACGCAACTTTCCCAACCGATTGCGATGGCGAGCGGCACTGCGATGGGGAGCAGCGCGCAGTCAAAGATGGCCAATATCGGCGCAAATTCACGAAATTTTGAGCCACCGCGATGCCTTCATACACATTTTTTTGCATTTTGCGGTTCGAATTTAGTTTTGAAATTTTCTCAGATGAAAGAAGAAGGTTTGAAGATTACAATGCAATAAAAATCAGAAATACGAGAAATTTCGCTAAAAACGCGATTTTTCGACTCGCATCTCCCTTTAACAGTGCCGCATACACACTTCAGCCATAATTCCTCATCGTTGTCAGCCACTGCATGAATTGGCACAAAATTCCTTGCAAGTGTTTAGGGGATACCACGCTCCACAGAAGAATGACAAAAATAGTATAGCGAATGCCGGCCTACTACCCAAAAGTTTATAATTAATGCCCTAGTGGGTATCAAGCAAGTGTGTTTGCAGTAGTTACCCAATGAGTGTTTGTAAAAGGCTTAGAAAGGCCGCTCTTCAAGCTTTCGCTGTGACTGTGCT